TGTGTACCGGAGAAAAGAAGGTGAATTCCTTCCCATCTGGGTGGGCTAAACGCCAAATGTCTGTTAATTGCATTGCTTCCGCAAATGTAGACAGTTGTGTGAGCGTTGATTGGGACTCTGAAAGTGGGCGATGATTGTGTTCTAGTGATTTTGACTTATCTTCAAAGGCATTCATAAGTGAAATTGAAGTCCCCTCCGACTACTAAAGGTAGGTGGATGTAGGCGGACAGCTTTGAGGACAGGTCCTGAAAAAACTGTTTTGACGGTGAGTTTGGAGCATAAATATTGGTGAGGACCAGTGATTGAGAGCCCACTTTGAGGTGTACCGCTAGGAATCTGCCTGCCTCATCAGTGTTAACCGAGATTATGTCCAGGTGCGAGCTTTTTGTGTATCAGAATGAGCACACCCGCTTTATTATTGAGTGAGGGAGAACCTATAACGTGCCCTACCCAAAGTTTCTTCATACGAACAAAGTCAGATTGGCCTAAGTGTGTTTCTTGGAGTAGTGCTATATCTGCTCTAAGTCGGCGGAGATGGCGGAGAATAGCCATGCGTTTATGAGGTGTGATCTTAAGCCCTTGACATTCCAGAATAAATACGTATCATTAGGTCACGTGATAGGAGGTGAGTACAAAGGTAGTGGACTTACAGTTTTGTAGGGTGGAGCCAGCTATCCCCCCATTACCGCCCAATCTCTGATGAAGTATGGTCGACTCCCAAGGAAGGGGTGATTCTCCAGAAAAATGTAAGAAAAAAGAACAGAAGAAAGGAGAAAGAGAGTGGAACATGGTGGCCCAACTGGGCCTATCAGAAGAGCAAAACAAACAAAAAACCATAACAGTGTATTGGACTTCACATAAATCTGCATGCTGTCCCTGTTTACTGCGACCAACGTAACCGGGAAATAGCAGAGTAATGATCTGCAGCAGTGGCTCATTGGAGTTGTTGAGAGGGCAGGGGAGCATGGCCCCCATGCCTAAATGGCATCGCCAAAGGGAAAAGAGGCTCAACAAATCGAATGACCAGAGCGGAACCGTGGTCGAGGCAAGGCACAGAGAAGGGATGACACAGTAAGTATAAGTATATGCTATCAAGCAGAATGAGAGGAAAGTACCACAGGACCAACTAAGTTATTGCTTTCTAACAGCTGGTATAGCTATCTGTGGACTGAAGATGATAGCTAAAGGCACAAGAAACTTTTAGTCAGTTAAATGAGGCAGGTGGTCCAATTCGTGGAGTAAACCGTTATTTTATTTTTTTTTTTATAGCGCCTGAGAGAGTGCGCCAGCTCAGGATTGGCGAGATTTAGAGGGAGCAAAGTTGGTACGTGGGCGTTTCGGTGGATCCTTGCGAGGGCTTCGCTGATCTCTAGGGCCTGAGGTGCGAGGGTGAGGAGACGTCGCACCATCCGTAGCCATCAAAGAATCTTGTAAATATTGAGCTGCTTCTTCAGGGTGGACGAAAGACTTTGTATCGCCAGAAGGTGTAGTAAAGCGGAGAGTAGCCGGATAAGCCAGGGTGAATTTGTAGCCCCTTTGGTGGAGCGTGGCACATATTTCCTGAAAGGCCTTACGTTTGCGGGATACTTCTTGCGAGTAATCGGCAAATAGGAGTAATTTGTGACCATCTACTTGTAGGGATCGAGAATTGCGGAAAGAATTAAGAATAGACACTCGATCAGCATAGTTGAGATACTTGACTATCACCGATCGCGGTGTACGGCGGTCATTCGAAGGCGGCCCCAGGCGATGGGCTCTCTCGACCTGACACAAAGTGGTTAGACCTAGAGCTGAGGGTATACGTGTGTGGAGCATAATTCTGGAAGCACCCCGGTTGAAAATGATTCTGGAAGGCCCACTATGCGCAGATTATTTCTGCGTGAGCGATTTTCTAAAACATCCAACTTGTCTAGGATGGATTGGTGCGTACGATTGGTTTGAAGCGCACCTGAGCGCAGCGATTTGTGAACATCATCCTCCAAATCTGACAGACGCTGTTCCACTTCAGTTAAACGTTTACTATGATCACCTATGTCTTTTCTGATCTGTTCAATGCCTGTGGCTACTGCATGATCCACGGCTTGTGTAATTGTGGGCAGTAGAATGGCAGCGACTGCTTGAGCAATTTTTTCATACATTTCTGAGGAACTACAGGTGCCAGGAGTAGAGGTCAGGGCTGGTATAATTATATCAGTGTGTGCAGGGAGGGTGTGTACATCTGCACCAGCGTTTATGACAGCCTCTGTGCCTGTGTCCATTGAATTAACATGGGCGGCGGCCATCTTGGCTGCAGGAGGGGGAGAGCCGCATCCCTCTCCCCTCGTGGTGTGTGACCTGAGCTCTGAGGAGTCGGCAGGAGGAATCGCTCCATGCCGGAGGTACTGAGGATCGTGCGGGGGGGCCAGTGGGGAGCTCCTGAAGCCGCTGACAGATGTCCCCTATGCAGAATGCCGGCTTTGTATGCGGGGATCCCGGGAGCCGCGGGTCTCACCTCCTCACAGCATCAGCGCCGGAACCGGAAGTCAGAAGTTATGCTTTAAGGCCTCCTCCCGCACTCCTGTTTTTGAAATGCAGCTTTTGGGGAGGGGGGAGGGGGGAGCATGTACCCGATTTTGACAGGTACCCGGTCCCACTCCCGCCCCTCCACCCGCCTAGGTGATCGGAAGTGGAAGTTCTCCTCCCAAATTTTGTAGCTGCTGAATTTTAATGTTTACACTGGAGCTCTTATTCAAGTTGGCAATATGGGGGCTTAATTTGAAAAATCTAATGAGCCTATTTGCTGTTCAAGTATTTAATCAGCTGCAGGTATTGCCGCTGCTTGAATATAGTAGATGTTAGTAAAGATTCCTCCATCCCTGTTGTTTTGTGTGGATGGAGAATTCTATTAGAACAAGAAAAACTCTATGCGTGTAGGGTTTCCAACCTTTTGTAATGCCTGTGTAAAAAAAATAATTAAAATACTTTAAATTAGCTACTCTTGACAAGTACAACTAACAACAATATATCCATTTCTAAGGTAAACCTAAAAGTATATTTACTTTTTTTTTTTTAATAAAATTCTTTGCTGTTTAACCCCTATCCCTTGTTGTCCACAATTTACTTCTTCCTCTCCCTGCTCTCCTTAGGTAGTTTTTTTTTTTTTTCAAAATACCCCCACCAAAAAAAAATATATATATATATAAAATTTTCCACAAACCGTTTTTTTTTTTTTCCGGTTTTCATTTTTTTTTCATACAGTGCTGTGTAAAAGTATTTGCCCTATTCCATATATTTGTTTTGGATATTTGTCACACTCAAATGATTCAGATCATCAAACAGATTTTAATATTACACAAAGATAACCAGAGTAAATACAAAATGCAGTTTTTAAATGATGATTTCATTTATTAATGGAAAAAAGCTGTACAAACCTGCCTGGCCTGATGTGAAAATGTTATTGCCCCCCCCCCCCCCCCCACCACACACACACCCCCCTTGCTAAATTATGAATTAACTATGATTAACCACATTTTTTGGAAAGCTGCGTTAAATTTAACTCACCACACTGATGGGAGTGATTGCTGCCAGACCTATTGAATCAAGAAATCACTTAAATAGAAGCTGTCTGACAAAGTGAAGCACGCTAAAAGATCTAAAAAAGCAGCACATCATGCTGCAATCTAAAGAAATTTAGGAACAGATGAGAAACAAAGTAATTTACATGTAACGGTCCGGAAAGGGTTACAAAGCCATTTCTAAGGCTTTGGGACTCCAGTAAACCACAGTGAGAGCCTTTATCCACAAATGTAGTAAACGTTGAACAGTGGTGAACCTTCCCAGGAGTGGCCGGCCTACCAAAATCAAGAGCTCAATGACGACTCATCCAGGAGGTCATAAAAGAACCAGAGCAATATCTAAAGAACTGCAGGCCTCACTTGCCTCAGTTGAGGTCAGTGTTCATGGTTCAACATTAAGAAAGAAACTGGGAAAAACTGGCATCCATGGGAGACTTCCAAGGTGAAAGCCACTGCTGACCAAAAGGAACACAAAGGCTCATCTCACATTTGCCAAAAAACATCTTGATTATTCTCAAGACTTTTGGGCAAATATTCTGTGGACTGATGAGACAAAAGTTAAACTTTTTGGAAGGTGTGCATCCCATTACTGCATCCCATTACATCCAATGTAAAACTAGCACAGCATTTCATAAAAAGAATATCATACCAGCAGTCAAACATGATGGTGGTAGTGTGATGGTCTGGGGCTGCTTTGCAGCTTCAGGACCTGGGCAACTTGTCATAATTGATGGAACTATGAATTCTGCACTCTACCAAGTCATTGTGTTCACTGTTCCTACAGAAAGATTAGTATCTTGTGCAATTTCACGAGAGGGTATGCGTCGAATAACCAGGATCAGGCGTTCCACACGCTGAATGTTCACAGGAATGACTGCTGTGTGCTGGGATCATCACTGATGGACGTACAGCCATCTTTGAAACCTTTACACCATTTAAATATCTTACTGTAGCTGAGCGTCTCATCACCATACTGTGCTTGCAGTCTTTTGTAGATCTCTGTGGGTTTTACGCCTTCATTCACAGGAAACTTCATCACCACACGCTGTTCCATGCACGCACTAATACTGTTGCCTGCCATCTTGATTAATGTTCTCTGGACTGGCCTGCGACATGTGCGCCGCCTATCAGTAATAGGACACACTTGCTACTGTATGTAGTACTGCCACGCTAGCATCCCTTTTTATACCTGTAAAATTAAAAAAAATCCCGGTTTGACTTGAATGCCTATCATATATGTATGTATGACTTAAATATAAAGTCTTCTCTAGATAATTCCATATTTGTTTTTTGTGCAGGTTTATGAATGATATTCAAGACATGTTGGGTTTTCGTCCTTGGATTGTGTACAAATACATGTGGCAATATGTCAGTATCTTGGCTATGATTGGATTACTGCTTGCAAGTTTGATTAGAATGTGCATCACCCACCCAGTGTATCAGTCATGGAACATGAAACAGGTATGGCTGTGAGACAATTTAATAGTCTCTTGATTTATGTTCTCGCCCTAGATTAAAAATATATAAGACTCACACATTTTTTAATGGACTTCATTTAAAAAAATGTGTGAATGTTGGGTAAAAGCATTAATAAGTCGACCCCCTAGTTTTTAAATATGTGCAATACATTCATGGTCAGGACTAAACAAAAAAAGAAATACAGATTTAGTCAGAAAACACTGAATTATTGCATATTAATATTTTGTAGATTTCTGTCCAGAATGCAGGTGGAGCTTTGGAGTTCACTTTACTTGTTTTCATCCTTGGTCTCCTTACCACCAACTTTACAAAAAAAAAAAACTGAATTACTGAATTAGATGAATGGGTTAGAGCATTACTTATCCCTTTATTGGATTCATCCAAGGTTTGAAACAGACACAGCAACCGTGACGGCAGGCTACTACTGCTCTGCTTTCTCTTTAGCTAACTCTTTGCTTTGTCTTGAAGTAAATGTTTGTTTGTAAAACAAAGATTACATACATATAGTAAAAGCAAAGTTTGAACCAGTTTAAATGTGTAGCATTTAAAATAAACTAAAAAAATAAATAAATACAATTGACCCTAACTATTAGGCCCCTTTCACATAGTTACATAGTTAGTCTGGCTGAAAAAAGACAAAAGTCCATCCAGTTCAACCTTTAAAAAATAAAAATTTATAATCCTATACCCACAGTTGATCCAGAGGAAGGCAAAAAAAACCCAGCAAAGCATGACCCAATTTGCTCCTGCAGGGAAAAAAATTCCTTCCTGATCCCCCGAGAGGCAATCGAATACTCCCTGGATCAACTTTACCTATAAATGTTAGTATCCAGTTATATTCTGTGTATCTAGGAAAGAACCCAGTCCTTTTTTAAAGCAATCCACTGAGCTGGCCAGAACCAATTCTTGAGGCAGTCTATTCCACATTTTCACAGCTTTCACTGTGAAGAAACCTTTCCATGTTTGGAGATTACATTTCTTTTCCTCCAGATGTAAAGAGTGCCCCTTGTCCTCTGTGATGACCTCAGGGTGAATAACTCTACACCGAGTTCACTATATGAACCACTGATGTATTTATACATGGAGATCATTTCCCCCCTTATGTACTATACATGGAGATCATATACCCCCCTTATGTATTATACATGGAGATCATATCCCCCCTTATGTATTATACATGTTGATCATATCCCCCCTTAATCTCCTCTTCTCAAGAGAAAATAAATTCAGTTCCTCTAATCTTTCCTCATAGCTGAGCTCCTCCATGCCTCTTATCAATGTGTGGAATCTTATCAGGAGTTGTGGAATCCATTCCAATCCCCCCCCCCAGTGGAACGGAGCAGGCAGGTGACAGGTCTGTGTACCCGCTGCTTATGTAGAGCAGACACAGAAACAGCCCACTCTGCTCTATGAGCAGTCAGATGTGAGCAGTCAGATGTAAGCAGACTGTCTGTTCACACCCGACTGTCCTCTGATCTACCCAGACGGAAGGGAATAAGTCCCCTTCCGTTTGTTTTTAGTGGATCGAATTGGAATTAGCACACAGGCCCATTTACATTCCTTCTTCATTGAGGAGAATGGAGGGTCTGATTGGGTCAGCCTTAAAAACGGACAGGTAGACCTGATCAGACCAATCGTGTGAAAGGGGCCTTATAGTTTTCCCTTATTTTTTTAAAGGTGTTTTGTTTAATGGCATTTTATATTGTGAGTGTGTTTTCTAATGCTGTTTTAATATATTGTGTTTAACTATGTGTGTATGCCATGCTATTTTTGCTCACTGCTTATATCTGGTTCCTGGTTAAGGGCACAAAAGACAGTGGAGGCATCTGACTGTTTAAATAGGAAATCATTATACAGTCTATAGATACCTCAACAGAGTTTGCATTCAAAGATGTTGAAATGTCACCGCGTATGTGCAGCCGCTTTCTATCGAGTTACTTTTCAGGTACCATATCCTATTTTAGAAGTTCAGCAAGAATATGGATACTGACCACACTTTATTGTGTTCTGTATAGTTGAGTGCCCACTAGCTTGTGAAGCCAAAGGCTTAAAGGATAAGTTCACCTTTGGGAACATGTTACACGTTCCACCCATTTTTAGGGTGGAACATGTAACATGTTCCGATAGCTGCAGCCGCACCCACTACCCCCTTCCCTCTGATAGATGGTACAGGGAGAAGTTTCCCTGAACTATCTGTCAGATTTAAAAACAGCACGGCCGTGCGGGGCTCTGCCCACATGGCTGTCGGCTTGTAGTTTTCAATGAACTACCATGGCACTGTTGAGCTCTTGGCTCCTGCAAAAAAAGTGCATTTATTATTTTGTCATAAAGGTGAACTTATCCTTTAATTAACATAGCTAACACCCCAGGATAAGGATCCTTATTTTTTGACAGTGAGAGTACCTTTGAGCTGAAGTCAATAATATTTGATAATTGTAGTCAAAATGGCTTAAATAAAGATCTTTATCTATGCTAAAGCTTTTTGAAATGAGTTTAATGTGTTTTTGAATTGTTACACAATCCTTTTTAAGTTAGGAAGACATTTTTAAAGTGGAATTTGGGGCAGCACAGTGACTCAGTGGCAAGCACTTCCTCCTGGCAGCACTAGTGTCGCTGGTTCGAATCCCAACCACGGCACCACCTGCACAGAGTTTGCATGTTCTCCCTGTGCCTGCGTGGGTTTCCTCCGGATATTCCAGTTTCCTCCCACACTCCAAAGAGATGCAGTTAGGTTAATTGGCAACTGTCTAAATTAGCCCTAGTATGTGTGTGTATGAATGTAAGCAAAGGACCTTAGATTGTACGCACCTTGAGGGTTAGGGACTAATGTGAATGTGTAATAAATATGTGATGTGTTGCTTAAATTGATGGTGCTATATAAGTACCTGAAATAAATAAATAAAATAATTCCAGTCAAATCCTAATTATACTTGAACCTGCTTCTACCCCCATTCTAAGCCTATTCTAACTACCCTGTAGAGGAGAGATGCCTATACTTACCTATGCTGAGGGCACTCCAGTCCATGTACATGATCGGCTCCCAGCGCCGGCTTCAGCGTAGAGGAGGGATAACCGGCAATAGATGCCCCATAGTAAGCTTATGAGTGACGTGACCGCATAGGCTCTGTATTTGTTTTTGGCAATCCCTCTTGTACACTGAAGCTGGCCACTGGGAAGATCATGTGACTGGACCAGAGTGCCCTCAGCAAATTTAAGTATAAGCAAGTTTCCTTTACAGGGTAGTTTTAATAGGCTTAGAAGCAGTTTTACGTATTGTTAGGACTTGACTGGACTTTTACTTTAAATATGTTTCTCTTTAAGTCTGCGTATTTTTATTAAATTTCCTTTTCTTCTTTGGTTTATGAATTAGGCTGAAGAAGTCAAGTTGGAGTACCCACCCTGGGCCTTCGCCCTTCTGGTCAGCCTGATCATCTTGGCTTCTTTGCCCATCCCTCTGGTCTTCCTGAAGGAAATGCTACAAGACTGGTTACAAAAACAGAGAACAGACAAATATGGTCAGTGTGAATACAGTCAGGGTTGTACAGTTGATGAAGTGACAGAACCCATGGAAGAAAATATAACACGGTGTGGAAATGGTTACCTTCATGTAGAGATGGAAGACCTTGCAGAAAGTGGTAAACTTCTTTCCCCTGAAGAAGATGCTGAAGAGGACACAGACAGTGCAACACCCTAGATACAATCCCAGTTATGGGAAGAATATTGGAATTCCAAACATTACTAAAATGGGTTAAGAGGCTAAAAAAAGCAGCTTTTATGGTCGACAAACATTCAAGTGTTGCTGAGCAGGCAAAGCTGGCTTAGCCTGCCCATGTCCTTTGATCAAATGGTTTCTCACTTGATCAGTTCCTGCCATGTGAATAGATTACTGTGCCAATTTCATATCAAATTCATGGTCCTTCTGTTTCTCAGTTGCTTCCGCCAGTATTTCAGCCCCTACCTCTACCTGACTGGTCTACCCTACCTGACTTTAAACTAGAGACATATGTATCTTTGAAAGAATGGTACATATTTCCAGCCATGTTTGCTTTAGTTGTTCTTAAAGCTCACAAAGGGAACATCGGGTTGGCGATGGAAAAAATAATCAAACATTGAAGGGTGGCTGCACCAAAACAAAGCACTTTCATGAGCCAATCACAGATCAGGTCGCTTACTGTTTTATTCACATAGATATAAACTGTGGAGTTTTAAGGCGTTACCACCATATTAGGTGATTGGACTTCATCCTCTACTGCTGGATTCTAGTTACTGATCTTATATGGAAGGCACCTTCTGTTACAACATCTATTTCTATTGCACCGCGTGTAATATTTATGTGTATATATATTTTTTTAATTGGAGTAATCTCCGTGGACCTTTGACAATGCTTGAAAGACAGTGTAACCGAACAACATGGTAACAGATCAAAAATCTCTTTCAGAACAGAAGAGTGATTGATCTGGGTACACAATCCATCGCTTCTGTTTAGATGGATTTGTAGATATAATTATTTATGGCTAAGTAAGCTTAGGTTTTCAGGGCTAGATCTATATATTTTATAGAGGCAAAAAATTAATTATTTTTTTTTGGGTGTTTTTGTTTTTTGGTGTTTTTAAATTGTTACTAAACCCAGGTCCCTGCATTCACTATATCTGGTCTCCCACAGTACAGAGAACATGAAAATGCAATTATTTTAGTAAATATAAATTACTAAATATCTTTTCCCATCAGAAGTTAGAGCAGTCTTTTAACTTCTATCAGTGTCCAGCAGAGCACTGGTTAAAGCTTGTAGAAGGCGTTTTCGTTCTCCCCTGATTGTCCTGTGAGGCTGCAGGATCCCTGACCCTCTGTCTGGACAGCGCTGATTGGCCCTGCGCTGATCACATGCACCCTCGCAAGAAAAAAAAAAAAAACAACTCTCTAGCAATACATGCCAAAGTGAGCATGTGTAGCTTTCCCCAAGGCTTTGTTCTATCAGCAGGTGGACTGGGGACTATGGAAGAAGGGGAGGATCAGAAAAGACAGGAGCAGACATTCTTTTTACCCAGTGCAGAGGATTAACCCCTTAGGTTCTACAGCGAGTATAACAAGCATGCTTTACTGCATATACAGATTGATTTTAATTTTGTGGATTTAGTAACACTTTAACTTCTTAGGCAGATTTAAATGTTAATGCTTTTCAGTGGTGTTTTATCATTAAAGCGGACCTCCAGGATCCCCCCCAAAAAATGTGAGTCAGCAGCTACGAATCCTCTAGCTATTGACTTTTAATTTAAGGACACTTACCTGTCCATGGATCCAGCAATGTGCTCACCTGAGCCGATTCTTCAATTGGCTTCAGGTGCAGGTGCCGGTTTCCTATTGCACATGTGCATTTGCACTTTGTGAATGAACTCGAGCTTCCAGCCTTTTGGGTGAAGTTCGGCTTTAATATTATCTAGCTGGTGCCTGCAATGAGTATGAGCTCCCTGGGTCTGACAGTTGCTCATATATTGTCTACAACCAACAATGGCATTTTCTGACTTCCAGTTCTTTGGCGTGAGTTTGTATGTTTTGTGTGTGTATAAATGTATACAAACACACATACCCTTTTATATATATATGTATATGTATATATGTGTATGTATATATGTGTATATGTGTATATATGTATATGTGTGTGTGTATATATGTATATATATATATATATATATATATATATATATGTGTGTGTGTGTGTGTATGTGTATATATATATATATATATATATATTGTATAGAACAAGTCCAAGGTTACGGCATGTAAAAGATTTATTATATAAATCAGCAATATTCCATTAACTAAAGTCTGCCATTCTTCAATTGGCAACTTGAAAGGGAACCGGAAACAAAGTATCAGTAAAGTATAACCCTTTAAATGAAAGAAAATCTCAAACCTACAAAATAATGCATGCTCAAAGGACCAGATGCAAATCAAAATCCAAATTGAGTTTGCCACCACAGCAGATGCCTTGCTGTTCTCAAGACTGCCAGAGTTCCCTCGTAGTCCATTGACACATCCTCCAGCTTTCTAACAGAAAGCCCATACAGAGGTACATGCAAGAAAGCTAGAGGACGTGTCTGCAGGAGCCGAACACTGTATCCATGGGCCATTGATCGTGGGTGCTATTCTTTGCATACCTCTGGAGGGAATAATAAATACACATTTGTTTCTGCAAAAATGTGTGCATTTATTATTTTTATCCCAATTAACTTATTATTTAAGGCATTCAATCCAATAAACTTCTCTTTTTTTAATGTCAGTTCTCAGTTTCCACCCCTGTGGGTTTTTTTTTGTTTGTTTTTTTGATACATGGTCTGTTACAATGATTTTAGCTGTGACAATGAATGGACATTTCAAAAAATATATCGCATAGCTTGTTTGTCAGGTAGAATAGACATTAATCATAATTTGTGGGTGAGAGAAGAAATTTCCTTTAATCGTATGTGCGCATTGAATGCAGTTGAGAAAAGGATAGGAATCAGCGGTATGTGGTCTGGTCTCAAAACATGTACCCACAGACTTTGCCATTGGGAAATAATTTGACCACATAATTGGATATAGTGGGCCCTCCCCTATAGGAGGAAAGTGGTGGGGACACGAACTCTGGCACGTCCAGATAACTGTTATGTAAGCTTTACCTATATATTTTTTTTTTATTATATTTTATAATGGAATACACCTCCTGTGAAAATTGCAGATGGACTACTTTAAGTGGCTTCACGTTTGACAGAGATGAGTGTGCCCATTCTGTTAAGCATGGTACAGGGAAAACCCTTGCCCAACATTTGTCTTCCATCACATTCAGTCTCTTTTTTTTTTTTTTTTTTTTTAATCATGACTTAGCATAATCCAAAGGAAAGGCCGCACACCGATGTCCTCACAGGCAAAATTTTAATCAGCTGAAACATTCTGCACAAGATCCCACCTCCAGGACCAGTCCTCTTACATGTTTCACCTGATGGGCTTAAAGGATAAGTTCTCCTTTGGGAACATGTTACTCATTACTGGTTTTTAGGGTGGAACATGTAACATGTTTGCATAGCCGCAGCCACGCCCACCGCCCCCTCCCTCTGACAGATATCATGGGGAAATTTCTTCCCGTACTATCTGTCAGATGTGAAAACAGCATGGCTGTGTGGGGCTCTGCCCCCACACAGGTTATGTCACTCATTCACAGAGTTCTGTGAATGAGTACCTACAAGTCCCGGCAGCCTAAGTGGATACGGGCTTGTAGTTTTCAGTGAACTACCATGGCACTCTGGAGTGCCGTGGTAGTTCACAGAAGCTTCCTGTCAGAATATCTGCTTGACCATACATCTCATATGGCAAACAGATATCCTGACAGGTATGCAGGAGACCTGCATGGCATCAGCAGCTATCTACTGATCGCTGGTGTAATGCTTTACAGCCTCCTTTGTACAAAAAAAATAATTGCACATTTTTTTACCTGCAAAAAAATGTGCATTTATTATTTTTGTCCAAATGGTGAACTTATCCTTTTAATCATTATGCATTTTAATTGTTCCTATTACCCTTACACGGGCAAACTGACTATAGGGAATATATTTAAAAACTCTTGCTGGATGAAAACTTGTGCAAAAACTGATTACAGTCTGTTGGTTTAACATACAGAATCCCATCATTCAGGTGTATCCAAAAAAGTGTTCATCATAAGTATAATTAAGTTTTAGACCCGGCAACAGATACAGGTACTCAATGTTACCCATATATACATCAGTCAGCCATACCATTATGACCACCCACCGTAGGCCTTCGAGACATGGATTCCACTTGACCTCTGAAGGTATGTTGTGGTATCTGGCACCAAGCCATCAGTAGCAGATCCTTTAAGACCTGTAAGTTGTGAGGTGGGGCCTCCATGGATTGTACTTGTTTTTCCAGCACATTCCACAGATGCTCAATTGGAATGAGAATTTGGAGTCCAAGTCAACATCTCAAACTCGTTGTGTTCCTCAAACCATTCTTAGATTCATCAAATCAGACCACGTTCTTCCATTGCTCCTTGGTCCAGTCCTGATGTTCATGTGCCCATTGTAGGTGCATTTGATTGTAGATAGGAGTCAGTATGGGCACCATGACAATAAACTGCGATGCTCTGTGTGTTCTGATACCTTTCTATTTGAACCAGCATTAACTTTTTCAGCAATTTCAGCTACAATAGCTCTTCTGTTTGATCAGATTTTCCTTCCTTGGACTAATTTTGGTTGGTCTTGACCACTACAGACTGGGAATATCCCACAAGAGCTGCAGTTTTGGAATTGTTCTAACCTAGTTGTCTAGACATTACAATTTGGCCTTTGTCAAAGTTGCTCAGATCCCTTACACTTGCTCTTTTTTTCTGCTTTCACCACACTTCAGGGACAACTTGTTCACTTGTCACCTTATATATCCCACCCATTTCAGATTCCATTGTAACAAAATAATCAATGTTATTCACTTTACCTGTCAGTGGTCAAAATGTTATGGCTGAGCAGTGTATATGTCGCATGCATATATATTTTATATTTTAGTGTCCTTCTCTGACTCTACACGTAAGATTTTGATTGTCTTAGGTGACAAGGGACACAATGTGGTGGCACAGCCAAACCATGCTGGTCAGGATCCAGTACCTGCACTCCAGCAACCTGCTCCTGGGTGAGTGAGACAACCCCATCT